TCGCTCAAAAGACGGGGAATAATTCTGCCTTACTGATTGCTTATTTATATGAGTTCACTTGTCAAATCCACACCAGCACCTGGCCAAATGTACTTAGACATGTGATTACGTAATGCATCCTGTTTTCCTTTCATCAGTTGATGTTCCTGTTATCAAGTGAAATATTAAATAAAAAAATGAAATGTATCTTTCTATATTTCTGAGATGAGGTATTATGTACACTACGTTATTCGGACTATTGTCCTCATCTTTGTTGCCATATTTATCACAACGTTTCGGCTGTTGAACGCTCCGGCCTTCTTCAGGTGGTTGGAATATCGAATTGAAAACTTTATTTCGCTCACTGGGGTAGACTGTTCTAGTTCCACGTGCTATGTCTAATGGATGTCAGTTATTAGTTATCTCCTGTTAATTCCCCTCTCCAAGTTCTCCACCGCCTTAAACAGGTATTGAACTCATACTCTTTGGGTTCTGTCACTGGATCTAAATAACGCCTATATCCACTGTGCCCTGTGTTTTTGAACCACCTGAAGAAGACCGGAGCTTACAACGGCCGAAACGTTGTGATAAATATGGCGAAAAGGATGAGGACAATAGTCCGAATAATGTCAAACATGAAATGTTTTAAAGAAAATAGATAAATGAGATACAGGCTCAGCAAATACGACTCCATAATTCTGGAAAAACATTTTTTCGTAGCAACTAAAGGTAAAACAACTATAGACTACTTTCTATTCAATCTGAATTTGTTTATAAAAATGCAATTGATTACGCCACAAAATACGTATTGGTTGTTGGCTATAAAGAGTTGATGACATATTTTTATCATAATCCAAAAGTTCTAACTATTTTCTATAGAGCCATTCTTTTGTTGCCTATCCCGATGAGAAATTTGAAGATAGATAATGCGTCGTGAGTACGGCTGAGAAACCATACTTGTACAATATAGCAGTTTTGTTTTAGAATAACCAAAATTGCAGCATCATTGAGCCTTGACATTTCTCTTAAGGATCAAACGATCAGTTCAATCTCTGGGTGGACTGCAAATACTAACATTTTTTAGTGGTTTGCTGGGGAGATTTTGCAGTATTTTGTCAAATGCTAGCCCACACAAAAAAATTACATTGCCTGTTTTGACTCCTACCAAATAATAATAATAATAGTAATAATAATATCAGAAACAATAACGTGACATCAACGGACCTTGCAGAGCATTTTATTACTGTAATTTTGACAAACATCTTCTGAAAAAATATTCTGAATCTACCAACTTGTCGACGCTTTAAACGCATGAAGATAGTAATGTATGCAAATTACTAACTTCCCATGAACAGATGGCTTCTACGCTAGTTGTCGTCGTCGTCGACACCCGAACACCGAAGTGGGGAGAGAAAAGAAAACATACATCCTCTCGCCCTATTCTCCTTGTCTTTCTTATTTGTATACTTTCAGTTTATTTCTCTCGTTTTTCTTGATATATTTTCAATCTTTTTGTTTTGATTTTCTTTCTTGTTTTCCAGTTTATTTTGAAAGCCTCTTTCCAAATTTACCATCGCTCTCTTCATAGTGTCACACCTATTGTTATACTTGAAAAATTGTTATAATTTGAAGAAGACAGACATCCTGTTAAAATATTGTTTAACATTGTCAAACATTGTTTTTCTTTTCTTTATCTTTTTTAAATCGCGTTTTTCTCTTTAATAATAATAATAATAATAATAATAATAATCTTGTAGCAGGTTGCGTAGTGTTAGCACAAAATGAATATAAAAACTGCCGTGATAGCGTGGGTCAATATCTGCAGTAGAAAATATGCAACTTACATGAAGGAAACTGCCAGAAATTGGTACAGAGATAGGACCTGTAACAATTTCATGGGAGTTTACAATACGCACAGGCAGAACAATCAAAGCTAATGGCATGAACATTGTGATTAGAGACCGAAAAGATAAAATGTGATTTCTTATTGACATGGCAGTCCCTGCAGATTGTAATGTATCTTTCAATATCTTTTTTAAAAACTATCAAAATACAAGCATCTTGCAGTAAAAATGTGGTACATGAGAACATCAATAATTCCAGTTGTAGTTGGAGCACTCGGATTGATTGGAAAATTTTCCAATAGACTCATTGAAGGGATTTCTGGTGGTCTATGCCTTAAAGAAATCCCTATTCTGACATTAGATCTCTGGTTGGAACCCGGAAAAATGTGTAGACAACAGAAACCCAAGGAAATAATAATAATAATAATAATAACAACAACCACACAGACATTGTTATTAGAGACCGCAAACAAAAAAGTGACTCCTTATTGATATGGAACTCCGTGCAGACTGCAATGTATCTTTGAAGATATTCAAAAAGCTGTCAAAATACAAGGACCTTGAAATAGAAATCTAGAAAATGTGGCACATGGGAACATCAACAATCCCTGTTGTAGTTGGAGCCCTCCGATTAGTTGGAAAAAATTACAATAGACTCACTGAAGGGATTCCTGGAAGCCCATGCCATAAAGAAATACAAAATATTCTTCTCACAAGTACAGACTACAACTTATGAAGGGCATTTATGAAGGTCAGTGGAAAATGTTATGATGCCATTTATAACTTGGGTCTCTGGGCGGAATCCGGAAAGAAATGTGTACACACCAGAAATCAAAGGAAATAATAATAATAATAATAATAATAACAACAACAACAACAATAATAATAATAATTATACAACACCCCCAAATGAAGGAAAAAATAAGAAAAGAGTACTACAGGCGTGTACGTCTGGTACGAAATACTGAGCTAAACTCAAAAAACAGAATATCAGCCATAAACACATTGGCTGTCCCTGTGATGCAATACAGCTTTAATGTTCCTAACTGGACCATAGCTGAAATTAAGCGAATGGACGCTAAAACGAGAAAGCTTCTCACTTGCTAGCGCATGCATCATCCCAAAGCTGATGTTGATCGTCTGTATGTGCCCAGATCCGAAGGAGGTAGAGGATTAGTTCAACTAGAACTGTCCTACAAAACTACAACAATTGGCCTCCAAAGATACTTGGAAACTACAGAAGACTGGATGATGGTACGCGTCAAGTAACATGAAAGTAGGAAGCTTCTTTACTCCGTAATAAAAGAAGCCAACAAATTCAAAATGGAGTTTCAAATGGGCGTAGAGATGCAAGTACAGCACAATACACTGTCTGAAACTGTAAAATACTTAAAAAAGACAAATGCAACCGACCAGATACAAAAGCGATGGCAAGATAAACCGCTTCATGGCCAATACTCTGCCCGTACCAAACAAGCTGACGTAGACAAAACCCGTACCCATCAGTGGCTACGTAGTGCAGGGTTGAAAGCTGAAACTGAAGGTTTTATCCTTGCTGCACAGGACCAATGCTTGTTAACTAGGAATTATCAAGCACATATACTAAAATACTGCGTTAGCCCAAAATGCAGATTCTGTGATAAATATCCAGAAACGATTGATCATCTTGTATCAGGTCGCACGATATTGGCACCCACTGAATATAGAACCCGGCATGACAGAGTGGGCCAAAGCATTAGAAAATTTACAACTTCTACGGGAAGAAAACTGAAAAAAAATGGTATGAACACTACCCAGACTCGGTTACGGAGATAGGACCTGTTACAATTCTATGGGACTACACAATACACACTGACAGAACAATCAAAGCCAACCGCCCAGACATTGTTATTAAAGACCGCAAACAAAAAAGTGCCTCCTTATTAATATGGCAGTCCCTGCTGACTGCAATGTATCTTTGAAGATATTCAAAAAGCTGTCAAAATACAAGGACCTTGAAATAGAAATCTCGAAAATGTGGCACATGGGAACATCAACAATCCCTGTTGTAGTTGGAGCCCTAGAACTGGTTGGAAAAGATTGCAGTAGACTAATTGAAAGGATTCCTGGAAGTCCATGCCTCAAGGAGATACAAAAAATTGTTCTGACAAGCACAGCCCACACTTTACGAAGGGCTTTATCTATGTAATATTTCTTTTTTTTTTTTTTTTGTCAGTGGAAAGTGTCATGATGCCATTTCTAACCTTAGGTCCCTGGGCAGGACCCGGAAAGAAATGTGTAAACGCCAGAAATCAAAGAAAATAATAATAATAATAAAAATAATAATAATAATAATTATAATAATAATGCGTGCACTTCGACGTACGTAAATTGGTTGTGGAGAAACATTCCAAACTTTATATGATTTCATTTTAATTTTATAAAAGAACCATCATTGTTACGGATTCCCTCGTTCAGAATCAAAACTTCCATAATGAAGAATTTTAACTATTGATTTCATCGAATTTTTATCACAATTCACAAGTTGTTTAACAGTTTTTTCAATGGTCGTCGAATGTAAACATATCTTGACTTCTTCCTTTTCATGTGCCATGTCCTCTCAAAACATAAGTGATCATGTCTCTCCACAACTTCCTGTTCCATGTAGCTCTTAATAATTTTTGTCTTTCTGTTACTAAACCCTAATTCCTCCACCCATTTACTCAAACTCACTAAGTATTTGATGCGGTGTTTTCCTTTGTCTCTCTTGCTTGAAATCTTTCCTGTGAGTATCAGACCTCCCGAGCCCTCCCTCCTCATTATGTGCCCTATAAACCTCAACTGTTAAATATAAGTATCCTTTTTGCATCCATTTTCTTTAAAACTTCGTCGTTGCTCATATATTTGGTCACTGGTAGCCTCAGCATCTTTCTATATAACCACATGTTTGTTGCTTTAAGTCTCTTTTTCATCCTTGTAACAATTTCATACACTTTTTTATTTTTATTTTTCGCGATTTTTTTCTATTCCCCAGTACCGTGCTTACCTCTTGGAATACGTGTCCCAATACAACTTCGACACTGAAGTAATATAAAAAGAAAAATAGTTAAAAAATTAATAAAAGCAAAAAAATAAGAGAATTATTAGAACACAGAGAGCGAGAGAAAAGACAAAAAGCGAGAAAACACGAAAAAAAACAACTAAAGAAAGAAAGAAAGAAAGAAAGAAAGAAAGAAAGAAAGAAAGAAAGAAAGAAAAAGTTGATTGAAAGGAAAGAAAAATGAAAAAGAAGTTTGAAAAGAAAGAAAGAAAAAAGAAAGAAGTTAAAAAGAAAAAAAAAAGAAAAATATGTTCGAAAAGAAAGAAAAAAATGTTTGAAAAGAAAGAAAGAAAAATGTTTGAAAAGAAAGAAAGAAAAAAAAAAATGGGCGAAAAGAAAGAAAGATAGAAAAAGATGATTGAAAAGAAAGAAAGAAAGAATGAAAAAGAAGTTTGAAAAGAAAGAACGAAACTAAAAAGAAAGAAAGAAAAATATGTTTGAAAAAAAAAAGAAAGAAAAATGGTTGAAAAAATTAAATAAAGAAAGAGGGTAAGAAAGAAAGAGAGAAAGAGATGGTTGAAAAGAATGAAAGAAAGAAAGGATAAAAAAAATGGGAAAAGAAAGTTAAAGAAAATATATAAAGGAATAAAAAAAATATATGCATTCCCTCACTTATTTACAATCAAATTTATTTACAATCAAATTTTTTAGATGCTTAAATTTAATTTGTCGTACCAAGTTTCCAAAAAATTTTAAATGAAAAAATGGCAGAATACATATTTTTTATTGTCGATCGTACGATTCACTTTTATAGCAGTATTAAATGAAAAAATAAACAAAAAGTAAAATATTTTTCGATATCTTCTGTCTCACACTCTATTCTTTTTCTTTCTTTCCTTTTTTATAGGTCATTTCTGTTCAATATACATGTAAGCAGGTCTCACCACAATTGGTTTTGTTGATATAAACAATTCTTTCTGCGCTGCCAAGGGCCTACAATCGGACTTATGTCCCCCTCTTGGATGGTGGGGGGGGGTTCGGGGATAGTACGCACTGACCCTGCTCGCGCTGAACTTTCTTCGCGGTTATTTGATGGCGGTGAACTTACCTGTAAACCAATTTTCTTCTATATCAAAATTTTTACTGTAAATAATTATAAACCTTGCAAAACATGTTCCTGGCGGCTTTCGTTTTCTTTTTTTTTATTTTCTTTTTTTTATTCCTTTCTTCGTGTATTGTTGGGCATTGTGGGTATTGGGGATTTGATGTCAGTTTACTAAAGAGGTGAAATGATGGCGGTGGACTTAACCGACATGAGATCATTGTTTTAACACCCTTCAAATAATTTTCTTTCTGTTTACATACCATATCTTCATTCAAAGAAATTATCTCTAATCCTACCCCGACCTCAGATTTTCCCACCCACCTCATTTATTACAACCCCTCGCTGATTAGATTTTCACCCCTCTGCTTATTCCGAAATACTTTTTAATTCAAAAACGCTAGAGTAATTCTACTGTTAGTTGCTTTATTTTTAAGCAAAATTTTGTTTCCTAAGCACAACTATTTCGGTTAGGAAAAGAAAACAAAATTCCATTTTGAAAGCATTATACAGATTTTTAATTTGAAAGACATTGGAATAAACAAGAATAAACAATTTAATTACAAAACAAAGGACATAGAATTTAACTGAAATAAGGAATTTTCATCTGTTACATGCATACAGTCTGTCCGAAATTATTATGCAAATCACATAAGTCTAAATAACTCAACTTGCTTTGAACAATTTTTGTCAAATTTTAGACGATTAATTTAGACTTCAAAATAAAGCTAGTTATAACCAGCGTATTCGCTAGATATGTTACCAAGGGTTTACCTAATAACTTTATTATTTTCTGTTTTTCAGCATTTTTCAGATCCTTTCCACTGTTTTAACATATATTTTTGAAGAAAAATGAAACAGTAGTTTTTTATTAGATTTCAAAGATCTTAAACTAATATTAGTTTAATCTGCATAACTTCAGACTTTACGTTATATAATAAATCCAATAACTTTAATAAGAGATGTTGAAACTAGCTAAAAATTTGACTCAGTATTTGTTTTGACGTCTAAATTAATCATTCAAAATCTGAGAAAAGTTGTTCAAAGCAACTTCGAGTTTTTGAGGTTTATATAATTTGCACAATAACTTCAGAATGTCAGATTTTCAATAGGAACTTTATTTAACAAACATACACTTTTGTTTAAGCATCTTCTGTCAGCATCTTAGCCTATTTCATAATTCGATCATCTCAGAAGGTTTTACTTTCTCAGCAAATATGTGCTCGGGGTGTATTTTACAGTCTCCATATAATTCAATATGGGTTCTGTAAATCTGTATGAAAACGTAATCTGATGGTAACATATGTGGCGAATACGCTGGTCAAAATAAAATGGAATTTTCCGCCAAACATATTTTTGTCTCGTTACCAAGCAAACATACCGTCCATTTTCAATAATTGATTTGGATGTTCTGAGTAGGCTCACGCCGTACAAAAGCGTTGGTTATTCTCAAGTCGCTAATACGACGTGCGAATAGTATAACTTATATCTACGCAGTGAGTTCTATTTCTATGCCCGCCTTTTGCTTTGATTTTCTCACAAACACATTTGGAAAAAGTATGAACCTGTTTCTTCTTCCCCAGCTATTAGTTAAATAGCAGTGAATACTGAGCGCTCTACCATTGGTTGAAAACCAGTCTAAAGGAAGGAAAACTCCGAATTCCAACCAAAGAGAAAGCAACAGGAAACCACTCCACTATCATACCCAAGAATGCTTAGTAATTCAGAGATAATAAGTAGAAGGTCTTTGTGGAGAATCCTGATAGCCTGCCTCCTAAAGTCACATAGCATTCTGAAAAGTATCTCGATAGTAACCTCAATTGGCTGTGAAGCAATGTTCAGTAAAAAAAATCTCCAGCCAAATTATTTCAGAAATCGATTTTGACATGTTTGATCTTCCATAGTACCTTCTCCAAAAACTAACCAATATTAATTTTTATCTTTATTAAAATAAGAAATAATTTGCCGAAAATGCTTTTTTATATTCCATTATTAACATTTTTAAATACATGCTTATATATTGTTACAATGGAATTAAAAGCAATCGGTTTAAATGAAGTTCGTTGAATTTAACGATACAGTGATATTTTCGGCCAAACTAATATCACGTGGGTGTTTTAAATAATTTTGAGTTGATAGGATATTAAGTAAATTGAATGTACTTCACTGCCATATAATACTAAACACTCCATCGTTTTTCTGGACGGATTTAAAGACTCAATATAATATTTTAAGCTAGAAACGTAATATCTAGTTAATGCATTGCCGTATTACACAATGACTCGGCTTCTCTGTCTTCCCTTTTCCTCTGAATATTCGAGTTGCTTCTCCCTAAACTGAAAACCTTCCAATCGATAATGGGAACTTTTCGATGCTACACGTGTGAACCATTCTTACATGATTAAATTATTGCTCAAGACCAACGTCCTCTTTTGTCTATTCCTCACGATTTGCAGCAATTACTGGGCCCAGCTTCAGCTTTATAAATCAATTCACTTTGTCGCAATCAAGAAGAGATGCTTTCCGATTCGACTCGATTACACCATTTCCTATTCTCAAACACGGAAACTAAGAATACATCTTAATAACCGTTTTCATGCCATTATTCATTCGGAGATGAATGAACGTGACGTCAAGAGAGAAAGAAAAACTATTTCTCCTGTTGGTCTCTGTTGAATTTTCTTTTAGCATGATTCATTTTGTTCTGTTTGCAACTTATTAGCGCCCCTGATTTTCTGTCTTTATTCTCCTGAGGAATATTAGTTGATTCTAAAAAATAGAATCAACAGAAATGTAATTTATATGATGACTTCCTGTTAAATACGGTTGTAAACCGAGGCAAGCTTATCATTTGTCTTCATTGTCTATTACTGTGTCTCTCGTTGCACTCTGGAATGGACGACAATTATTGTTAATAACATACGCAGATGACACAGAAAAAAAAGCAGGGACTTCTAAAGAGTGTAGTAGAAGAAAGGACTAAGTATTACTTGTAAGAAGACAGATTATATAGACATTTACAAGAGAGACAGCCCGTTGGTTGGCGCCAACATTAGGTGAGTTTGGCTGTCAAAGTAAGTTGTTGTCCAAATCTGCTTCAGAACAGAGTCCGTTTTCTACCATTCGCTGACCTGACATGTAAATTATACCACAAAAAAAACAGCAACTACCGACTGCAGTTATTTTTAAGTATTTCTAACTTCTTGCTTGTAAGCTTTTATGTATTTTTATTCCTTTTTAGCCACTGAATAAATCACTAAAAATTAAAATAAAACCTTTATAATACTTAGTTGCTCTTTTGTTGTTCCCATTACTTCTCGTTATCTTATTTCTCTTATCACACTACGAAATGAACAAAAGACTTGATTTAGTGTTGGAAGAGACTACAGAAAATGCTAAATCCTCCGACCCAAATCAAACAGGCATTAGAATGGTGACTGATGCTTTGAAAAGCTAAACACAGTTTTTCTAGGTTTTGTTTACAGTAAGGTTCACCCTGTATAAGATCCGCGGACCACTCGAGATAGAGGCTTTATGGAAAAGTTTATGCGGATAGGAGGGAACTGTTAACTCTAGACATGAAATGGTTAACATTGTAGTGATCAGCAAAAAACTTCCTCTTGGGAGTCTGTTCCACAGAGCAATGGTTCGCGGGAAGAAGCTGTTTGTGTGGAACTTACTTCTCACCTATGGAATAAGCGAAAGGTTATAACTGGCAAAGCCAAGGAATGTAGATCGTACAAGCACTTTTCATGGCAGTAGCGATAGAGCAATGACAGGCTCACCACATGCCGCCTGTGATAGTGATTTTGGAGTGGAAATCAATTCGTCAATGCCTCTGAATGGAAAAGATATGACAGGACAGCTCCCGCCCATTACATCATTTCCGGTCTGATCTGGCTCTTTTCATGAGGAGTCAGATTCTTATTAAAGCGTTTCAGTGTGTTGACCATTTTACCTTCATCTTTACCGATGGATCGTATGTACGAGTTCTACTTGAGGAGTACTAAAAAGAGGGGACAATTCGTTATTAAAAAGAGAAGAGTGCTGAACTGCTATGTCTTGATAGCCTTTCGTAACTGTCTCAGCGAGTTGGCAAAGTACTCTCCATTAATAGTGTTGTAGCATACCTACGGACGATAATGAGTATGTCCCCCTTCACATAAGTACAGTATACTGTATGTTGGTCTGAAGTTGAAGATTCATCTCCAGCTGTGCTGGTCAAACTCTCTGCCTCCGAGTAGAGTGGATCCCCAGACTAGGCTGTGTCGAAGGGCAGAGCCTCGTCTCGGGAACCAACTACCCGACCCCGTTTGATACGGGGTCTACGGGTAATTTTTGGAGGAGCATACAGGCTCGGATACCCCACATTAAATTCGGCCTTGTGCCACATCTGACCGCACGGAGTGCTTGGTAGATATCTTGCATTCGGGGATTAATTGTGGTATTCACTTGACTCACTTCTAGCAGATGACTACTTCTACGCGCCGCTGGAGAATCTTATATTTGTTGTTCATGTCCTAAGTAAGATCGTTCATTACCAACATTCGTTTGATTATTCTATTCAGTAACCTTCGCTAGGTTACAACAGATAGTGTGACTCTTTTGAAGATTGTCAAGAAAAACAATGCCTTTTGTATCCCATAAACTGAAGCCGTCACATTTCCTGCAGATTAAATGACTTTGGACTGTATCATTGTCTCTGGCTCAAAGCGATTAACCCAACACCCATCCTAGGTTAGGAAAGGTTCAAGGAACGTAACTGGAACTGCCTCAAACAATGTTACATTTTCCCGTGATATGATCAGCCTGGTGCGCTTTTGATCAGCTGTCAGAAGACGTGACACCCACCAAACAGAAACCTTCACCATGCCAAGTTTATTGTGCAGAATATTCTCAAGACTCTCATTGGCAATTTGATCTATAATCAATCGCCAACCACCCAGCAATATGTAGTGAACACGATCAATGTTTTCCTCGGTAGTGGCAGTCGTAGAACGTCTAGACCATAAGCCATCTTCATGACTCTCCCCTCCCATAGTAAATTCAGCTGCCCACTTTTCCAATCATCATTCCCTAATGTAGTTGATAACACCACGATGCCAAATTTTATCCATTTTCCAGAGAAGTCGCTTCCAGTTAATTTTGAATCATTCTTTCAACAGTCATATGTCAGATTGATTGATTTATCTGTTTAACGGCATATCAACTTCTTATGGGTCATTTAATTCCGAAATTTCATTGAAATATTTTGAACGCAGTTGTATGACTTCAACTAGAAATAAAATGTATTGTTAGTCATTTGGCTGTAAAATTTTATTTGTTTGGTGCATTTTAAACAGGCGTTTTTTAAACAATATTTATTATAAGAAAAGAAACATAACAATTCAGCAATAACATTTCAATGATTATTCGGGGAAGTATGATTATCGACACGCATTTTTATAACCTGAAAATAAAATATTTTTATTAAAAAAAAAAAAAAACAGCAATTTTTCTTATCAAATAACTCGCCTAGAAAAACGCTTGATAATTATGCACCAACCCAATCTTATAACTATGTCTTGCTGGTATTTTTACTATAAATTTGTATTGTTATAGTATTTTGTTTTTTTTTGGGGGGGGATTCACTATTTGCCCATAAATGGGATTCTAAGAGGTGCTACCACTTCAAGTCAGGGTGCAGCTGAGAACAACAGCGTTTGACTGGTGGTTCCATGTTTCTCAAAAGCTACAATCTCCCGAACAGCGGTCTTGCTGCCGGATCTAGTTTATAGTCATACCCAGGAATCTCAGATGTCTGTTTACCTGGAAATAAACAATGCAATTATTAATAAGAAGAGTTGAAGTTAATGCACACAGGATTTCACACCTATAGTATACACTGCTTCATAGTCAGCCTATGAACTTTTTAGCCTACCCTCGTATATATATATATATATATATATATATATATATATATATATATATATATATATATAGCATCAAAACAACCCTTATTCCCCCATAGCTAAACACTTTAATCAATCAGGACACTCATTAGAAAACTGCAAATGTTTATTGATAGATTCCGATTTTAGTTCCACATACACACGCAGAAAAAAAGAAACATATTGGATTTTAAAATTAAATACACATAAACTAGGGTTGAATAGGGACTTGGGTGTTTTAAATCTTTATAAATATTTCAATAGTTAAGCAATTTTTTTTGGATATAGTTAATTCTTTTTTTTAAACAACATTTAAAATATTTATGACAGATTTAAGTTAGGAATATCCGAACAGTGACGTTCCATATCACGTGACGTCCACGTCTCGCGAAGGACGCTACTTGTTAACAAACAGTAATTTTAATTTATTTGTAACAAACAGTTATTTCTGATGAAAGATTGAGGACAATCTGAAATATCAAATATATATATAAATAAATAAATACTTTCATAAAATAAAACATTATTTTTTTAAACATTAATTTTTATATATATATATACGTAAACAGCAGCTAATATCATTTTCATAAGATCGTATTAGTACGCTATATGCAGCAGAACTATTAAAGTAGTAATTTTTATGAGTCACCCGGTGAGGATCAAACTTTTACAGTATTAATGGCCAACCATCACACGCCGAAGCACCTACAATAATATTCCTCGAAAATGAAATTTGCGGAGGGAATAGAAGTTAGAATCTTTTCTTTTTTACTGTAAGGTTCACCCTGTACATGACCCGAGCACCACTCGAGATAGGGGGTTACGTTAATGGGCAAGATAATGGTTAACTCTAGACGAACAGGTTAAGATTGTAGCGATTGAGGAAACACCCTCTTGAGAGTCTGTTTCGCAGAGCAGTGGTTCTGAGGAAGAAGTTGGTTGAGTGAAACTCACTTCTCACTGATGAAATATGGAAGGAATGGGGTTGATTTTCTACTGCGTAAGTGGCATGGCGAGTTCTAGCCGTGAAGGTTAAACCTAGTGAAACCAAAGAATGTAGCTCGTCTGAGCACTTTCCACGATAGTAGCGATAGAATAATGAGAGGCTCACCACATGCTGCCAGTGAGAGAGAGGTTGGAGGGTGGGAAATATTTCTTTCTCCAGCAAGGACTCGGTGACGCTTTTGAACTCTATCGAAACTGGAAAGGCTAGAGAACATCAAATTCTTATGTGGAATAATGTACTTTTTAAGCCGGGCAATATTAAATAATCTTGCTAGTCATGAAATAAAAGAGGCGAAATGAAAAAACAGAATGTCGTTGACGGGGAAATAGGAGCGATGAGAAATTGTCTGCTGTTTAAGCTTTATTGAAGGCGAACGAGAAAGACAAGCGTTCGTAATATTCCATGATAATGAAACACTTAAAAAAGCAGTTTTCTTCTCGAATTGTTTTTGTTGAACAGTAAGAGAGAGACAAACTGTACTGAGCGAAAATGCACATAAAATCAATAAGAACAAAAGGAAAAAAAGAAAACATATGAAAATATAAATGTATTACAGTTATGTTGGTCGGTTGATATATGTCAGTTAGATTGATTGCTGGACGGCCGGTTGGCCGGTAGGTTGGTCGGTTGGTCACTAAATAGTACAATACAAGGAAATATGCTAATAAGATAGATAGATAGATAGATAGATAGATAGATAGATAGATAGATAGATAGATAGATAGATAGATAGATATCGAAAGAGTGACAGAGAAAAACATAAACAGAGACTATTTCTGAGTCCATTTATATCAAAGTCTAACTAAATCTATATCTATTCAAGTATAGAAAAATTAAAGCCTAACTAAATATAAATTTGTTAGATAGATAGATAGATAGATAGATAGATAGATAGATAGATATGTAAAGACCAAATAAATATAAACCGAGATTTATATGAACAAACTAAGTAGATAGATCGATAGATAGATAGATAGATAGATAGATAGATAGATAGATAGATAGATAGATAGATATGTAAAGACCAAATAAATATAAACCGAGATTTATATGAATAAACTAAGTAGATAGATAGATAGATAGATAGATAATGAATAGCCTTAGATAGATAGATAGATAGATAGATAGATAGATAGATAGATAGATAGATAGATAGATAGATAACGAGGAACATAAAGAAAAAATGTCTTCTATAGATGCATAAAAATTACATAGCTAGAAATAAATGTATATATAAATTGATACAGATCAATAATTGTTGTGTGTGCAGAAGGAAGAAATAAGAATCAAGCGATTTTCGAATGGGGGGCTTTTTTTAACCAATAAGTGGTCTGCAATTGAGTTTACATTTCTCGGTTGCAGCTAAGAATTTACTGAAAGAGTGAACAGTGTTACAAGCAGACTGACATTCAAAAGCAAACTTAAAAAGTGACGACTCATTACAGTCAGCTCTTCACAGACATATTTCCCAAATGTACATTTACGTACGCATCAGATAAAAAAAAATATGTGCATCTTCAGACGATCAGACAAGAATAAGAAAGGGTCAGCACCCATGAATACGTCGATGTGTAAATGTTTGGTGTTCTGGAAGAGAAATGGAGGTAGCCTTAGGGTAGGTATAAAAACATGTACAGAAACTGTAGCTATATGCGCATGCTCACCAAACGTACGTATAAAGAATGCGACTATGACATTCGAATAACTTTCGTATAAAGAAGTGAATATAACGTTAAGTAAAATTATATATGCACAGAATACATTGTATACACAAACAAAATATAGGTATAAAACCATGTGCACATGAAGTAGGTATGAAATAATATAAACAAAAATTACATATACTGACATACACAAAACATACGCATCAACACATATGCACAGAACGTAGTTATATGCACATAAAAAGTGTAAACTTATATACACAAAGTGTACGTATAAAATGATATGCGCAGCACAGTCATAGTATTTATAGAAGTAGGAGGCATCCGTTTATATCGCGTGCTAATGGTAGCGCCCGGTTTTGTCAAAATTCTGTCCTTTGGGACTGGAGTGAATTCGTCAGGTGGCAGGCTTAAACAACTGTATATGGAAACCATGCGCATGTCCCTCCTCCCTGCCGTACCGCCAAGATCCAAACTAGTACATTTGAGGCCGGCTTGGCTGCAGGAATTGCAGGAAGTTTGTCAGTGTTGAGAACCAACTCCGGATTTTCTGCTTGGATTTGCTTCCATACCTTTCTCCATGTTTGGATATGACCGCAAAGCACTGTAGGCTTAAAATCAAGGTTTTCGTTCCCATAAATTACCTGCCTGGGCTGGGGATCTCCATCTACATAGAGCATCTGGTTATAAGACGCCAATGATCCGCCTTCACCCCTTCTCCAGCATAATGCTGGACAATTTACAGAGATTATTTTAGACGATGCCTTGGGAACATTTTATAGACAGCGGGGCTTGTCCCCACTACTACACCTGGCTATGACAATCTTCGATTATTTTGTTCTACGAATTCGAGACGGAAATTCTATTTAGTCCAAAAGACTATATTCTATGCATATATTTTATGTCTACATTTTATGTCTACATAGAGTTGTGTGAATATGTAACCTGCGTTTTACGTATTTGTATAAACCTTGAATTTTTATATAAATTTTTGGTTCGCATGTGAATATAGTAACGTTGTAATCATCCTTAAGCCTACGTCCTCTATATATGTTTTCATAGCTACAAAAAAGCATACGTGTTTGCATCTAATACCTACGTTTCGTACATATATAGATGTGCGTGCGCGCGCGTGTGTGTGTGTGTTTGCGCGTGTGTGTGATAAAAATACAGTTTTAAGGTATGCTATATTTGTGGGTTACAGTGTAATTATATTAGGGCGTGTGTAAATATAATATGAAAGTGGACATTTATTCAACATCGAACAGCAGCAGTTTGTTTCATGATTAAACGCAACCTGCAGGCCTGTAGATTGCGTAAAAAACAGATTGTTGCCGCTGAGTGATGTCCAAAATTATATAATGTTATTAATATTAAATTCTAAATTTTGCTATATCTACAATCTTATTTTTCTTAAATTTCGAGTTCGAATTCCAGTCGAATCCATTGCATTCAGTTACGTACTACTACCCTTGGGAAAGGTGGGAAACCCCTTCTTCTCCATTCAGGTATGGGTAAATAGCAGGACAGACTGGTTTCTATAGCCTTGAATGGAAACTGTTCTAGGAGAAGGACAACTCTGAAATCAAAGCCTGCG